ATATATATGTATGTATATGTATATACGTATATATGCAGATTTTATGTCTATACACATATTGATACACGGGCATAAGAGCTATAGTTTTGGATATATATAAGAGGATCCGGTGGATGCAGTAGTGATCGAATGCAGACTGGGTGGCTGGACTACGGCTGCCTTGTTGTCACGTGCTCACCGGCATGTGCTTCTGTTTTGTGTGTTGATTTAAGATCTTAATAAACGACAATAAAATTAGAGTTGATATATGCCAATTGTTTTCACACCTATCCACTGTATATTTTTCAGACGTTGGGGTGAAATCCAGTGTTTTATCATGCAGGTCATTTAAAGGGACTTGAACAGAATACTATCGGCTTGTGTATGCGGACATGCATGGTTTTATAGATATGACAAAACAATGTATACAGCTTGTCTATATACACAGTTCTTTGCACTGGTGCCTTGTATCATTTTCTTTCTAAGTCATTTAAAATACTCTTGTTTGAAATCAGCATATATGGGATATAAGCTGGAAACTTCTTCACAATCTTATTCTTTTTTCCTATTCTTTTATCTCTGACCTGCAATACCTGCTGCCGATTATGCTAAATCTTTGCATAATTTTTTCTGTGTATGCTATAACATCAACAATGGAAGTTCATCCTCGTCAATCGTGTAATTTTCATCTCAATTCACTTACCCTGTCAAAACAGGAGCAACACGACGTACTAGGTGGAACCACACACACCTTTGTGGAAGAAGGTAGGTTTGAGTTTGGGACCGGATTGCACTATGTAGGTGGTGCTCTGGCTCGTTCTAAGCTGTTGGATGCACTCTGCGATGGCCAGTTAGAGTGGGCGGAGATGGACCCTGACTATGATCATGCAGAGCTACTTGATGCTCCGGTAGGTATATGGTTGGATATGCATGCTTGTGTTTGATTGGGATCATTTGTTATATATATATATATATCACACACCCACACACCCACGCACATATACACATATACACCCACACACACACATACACCTACACACATACACACATATATATATATATATATGTGTATGTATGTATATATATATATATACATACACACACACATACACCTACACACATAC